GTTTAATGTGTGTGTGTGTGTGTGTGTGTGTCTATTGTCAGTGTGTGTCCATGGTCAGTGTGTGTGTGCAGCTCCCAGATGTGTTCATTTTGGTTTTCTGTGTGTGTAGGAGTGAATTGTGAGTGTGTGTCCTGGTATTTAAAGCGATTTGCTCAAAATTGAGTGTTTAAAAGTAAATTGTGTCACACGGAGTCATGTGACGGCGCCTTTGGCGGAAGTCTCTCCGCCAGAGGAGAAATAATGCGATTATTTTGATCTTTTCCAGTCAAATGTAAAGGTAATGAAGCCGAGTGTATTGGAGCAAAAGTCACGTTTTTCCCCCCAATTATACTCAAGTAAAATTAAAAAGTATGTTGTGTTAAAATTACTCTCACAAATTCAATTTATCCAAAAGGTTAGTTAACTTAATGTAACGGAGTAAATGTAACACATTACTACCCATCTCTGCCTGTAAATGAATATCAATTTTAAAAAAACAAAAACAAACACTTTAACTACTTATAAAATTAAACTTTATTTATAGTTAAAGGAGATCAAATTGCTAAATCTGTTAGATAATAATAGTAACTGAGTAAAAGCTGATGTTACAAGGTGCTTCATAAACAAATAAAAATGACAAAACACATAAAGAGACACAGTATTTTAAAAAAGCAGATTATAAAATCAAGTGAACAAAAAACATAGAAAATAACAAGCAAATACAGCAAATCAAACAAAATACAAAATAAAACCACATCCTAAGAAGCAAGGGATAATAAAAACAGACAATAAAGTGCATCAGTAAATCAAGTAAAATCAGAAAAGGCTCTTTCATTAAAACAGATCACTGACTCTGCTGACCACATTTCCTCAGGCGGCTCGTTCCATCTCTGGAACTGATAGAAGATCTCAGCCCAAGAATCTCAGGCTTCATGCAGGCTTGAACATAAGGCAGACATATAGCACGAAGAGAGGCTTTGAAGAGCATTAAAAACAGAAAGATCTTACGATTCTGAAACATCGTGGGAGCCACCGAAAGGAGGCTGAAACAATATGGTCACGTGTCTTGGTTCTTGTGATGGGC